GTACGGTTTTTTTTCCCCCCACCTCCTCTGTTTTTACGGTTCCTGAACCGAGTTCAGGAGGAGGGATTGACAGCTCTCCTGGTGGCTCCCGAGCGTGTGAACGCACCATGGTTCCCAGGCCTGCAACGTCTGTTGTCGGGTCGCCGTGGAAACTGCCGTGGAGGGAGGATGCTCTCCTTCAGGCAGGAGGAGCGATCAGGAGTTACCCAGAAATAGGTCAGCACCTGTGGGTCTGACCGCTGAGCGGTCCCACTTAGAGAGGATGGGTCTCCCTCAGGAGATAGTGTGCACAATTCAAGATTCACGTGCTGCATCTACCACAGTTCTGTACACATCAAAGGGGACGGCTTTTCAGCGCTGGTGTACAGAGAAAGGTTCAGAGGCCACCTCATGCCTTTTAGGCGGCGTGTTGTCTTTCTACAACAGCTGATGGATAGGAAGTTGGCATTCAGTACGTTTTAACGTACGTTGCAGTCATCTCTTCCTGCCACGAAGGTTTCGGAGACAGAACAGCTTTTAATCACCCGCTGATGAAGCGTTTCTCTAAAAGGTGTTCAGAGACGCAGGCCTGCTTCACGTCCACTTGCTCCACAGTGGGATTTAACGCTGGTCCTGCGAGCCCTGATCAAAGCTCCAATTGAGCCTCTGGATCAGGTTTTCACTTAAAATTCTTGTCTCTTAAAACAGCCCTGCTGCTGGCTTTAACACCCGCTAAGAGGGTAAGTAATTTATCTGCCCTCTCTGTTGCTTCGTCATGCCTTAGAATTTAGGCTGACGGGCAGCTCAGCTGATTTAAGACCAAACCCAGCTTTTATGCCTAAAACATCACGAGCTCTTTTAAATCAAGTATGATACCGTTGGAGGGGTTTCTTTCCCCCCCACAGATCAGAAGAGGAAGCATTTCTTCATCTTCTCTGCCCGGTGCGGGCGTTGACGTGTTACATAGCGCACACAGCTGCAATGCGTTTCAAACTCAACAATTGTTTGTGCATTATAGAGATGCTTCTGCAGGTCGCCCGTTATCCATCCAGCGCTTGTCACACTGGCTGTGTGAGGCCTTTTCTGAAGCCTACAGAGCATCAGATTTAGAGCCTCCTGCCAACCTCAAAGCACACTCGACCAGGGGTATCGCATCTTCGACTGTTCTGCATAATGGTATGTCAATGCAGGACATTTGCACTGCGGCTGCATGGTCAACACCCTGCTCATTTATTCGCTTTTACCTACGTGATGTAACGGCTTGTTCCATGACACATTCTGTCCTTAGTGCTCTAACAGAATGAATATTGTTGTTCTCATGGAACTCTGTTTAAGCTCACTTCTGTCTGCATGCATTACAGTGTGAGATGTTGTTATCAGTCACAAGTCGTGTCTGTGATTTTGGTTCTATTGTCACTAATCAGTTCATGATTATTGCTACCAATCAGTTCATTTGATCAATAATCAATTCATGGATATTAATCTGTTCATACTGTTCAGCCATGAACCAGTTGGTTCATGCCCCCCCTCTTTTCAACTTCTTCTTCCCGTTGAAAGTTTTCCGGGGCGTTCATGCTTTGTCAGAACGCATAGTTACACAACATGCGTCTGTGCATGGCACATAATTACGCGATGCGTAGTTATGCACACGGGGAGCTGAGTGACAAGACGTTTTTTGGGCAAGCTTCCGCTTCTTACTGTGTTCGAATGGACCCAGTAAGGCGAGGACCACATCCGCTTCGCCCTTAACCCATCAGCGACAGCCTTAAAGGGCTACGCCTATATTCATAGAATCTGGGGTTACAGTACGTAACCAACGTTTTATTCACGTCACCTCTCATAAGGCACAGCACTTGTAAAAGAGTTTTGTACCGTAGTTTGGAAGGAAACTTCACAGCCGGAGCTGCAGCACTGAGTTTAACACACGCTTCATACTCCATTACAGCGCTGCTTCAAATGGGGAAAAGGTTTGATGTGCTCGAACATTTTCGTCGGGACTTATTTTCGTAATTTTTCTGTTGCACAGCTGACAAATTAAATCTGAACCATCTCCAAATAACAGAGCCATCATTTTTTTCCTGCTCACCAGTTCTGCAACTTCCTCTCTCCATTCTGTGACGAACTGTGGCTGCTACATGCCACAGGCAGCCACTCCACCTGGAGAGGAGCAGGGAGCGGGGGGAGCGCCCGGGTAGGGGCTGGGTCTGCAGTGAGAGGAGGGGGGCCATGTGGGAGAAGAAAGAACAGCAGAGCTGGTGGATTTTCATTTTAGAACTATATAGTTTAAATCGAAATAATGTCAATTTATATCGCAAATAAAATTACATTGATATTTTTAAAATATCGAGATATCTCCCAGCCCTAGTGTTCCCTTTAATTTTGTGAGCAGTGAACTTTGTCTAATTTGTTTAACTAGGTTCTCTTTATCTAATTTTAGGACTTGTGTGAAAATCAGATGATGTTTAAGGTCACATTGGTGCAGAAATATAGAAAATCCTAAAGGCTTCACAAACGTTCAAGCACCGCTGTAGCTCTCAGAATGGTTCTACCCGACAAATATAATCCAGATTATCACACAGTCAAAACACCTTGTTATAGTTGAAATGCAGTGTAGAATTGAATTTTTCAGATATTTATGATAAACTACAAATACCTGAAACTGACTCTCTCACAGAGAGAACTAGATTTGTTTTTTTTTGTTTGTTTGGTTGTTTTATTTGGGGGGGGGGGGGGGGTAATGGAGCCACACATTTTTGTTATGATCTGGGCTTATATTTGTTGTTTAGTAATAATAATAAAGTGCTATGTGTTGTCATCATTGGATGTTCCCATACAATGGTGACACTGGTTCTCTGCATTTAACCCATCACCCTGGGGTACACCCAGGCGGAGCACTTCAGTGTTAATATGATCAGCTATAAGAACCGAAGCATCAAACACAGCCGCTCTCACTGTGAGGACACAAACAAGTTGCTCGCGCTCCTGCAACAGCATGCGCTCTCTCAGACCAGGAGTCTGGTCATGCGTGCAAATTGCACATGTCTGAACGATGATGATGACGACTCTCCAAACAAATTACCATTTATACAAACTTAAATACAAAAGGCCTGGGGAGGTCATGCACGGTGCAGGAGGAGGCAGTGGGAGCAACAGTATCAGTTCTACTAGTTTCCCTGGCTGATGTGAACTGGATACGAGCGAACACATACATTTAATAATTGATTACGTCTTCACCTTCGTAGAGGGCAGGTAGTTCCGTTAGGGCAAAGAGGTGTCCACCTTGGGAAATGGTACAGGAACACTGATTGGTGCTCTCACCTGCAGTCTGTCTCCAAGTTGGGAACACTGCGCACACCTGCCATGCATCACACAGCATGGCCTGACCTGCTCTTCTCTGACTGGGTAAAACTGTGGCTTTGATTCTCTTTATTTGATGAAAGCAGCATCAGTTTACCTTAATCCCAGTATCATCATTAGACTAGTTAGACTAGACTAGATTAGTTTTAACCAGACCAGAACACTCTTCTGTTTGCCTCCTCATTTTTACAGATGACAGAACTCTGTTGCAGCAATGTACAACTTTCATCGCTGTATCTTCTTCTTTCGGCTTTCCCTCTTCAGGGGTCACCACAGCGAATCATCCTCCTCCACCTCACTCTGTCCTCACTCCCAACTACCTCCATGTCCTCTCTAACTGCATCCATACAGTATATCTCCTCTTTTTCCAGGCAGCTGCATTTCTAACATCCTCCTTACGCAATGCATCATGGGTCGTAGAAATAAGTTGTATTTAATACTTTAGATATTACTCGGCACAGTTGGTAGAGTGCCACTGTGCCGAGTAATATCTCAGTGAGAAGGTTGCTGGATCAAATCCCAGCTAGGGAGTTTGCATGTTCTCTCCATGCATGTGTGGGTTTTCTCCAGGTCCAGTTTCCTCCCACAGACCAAAAACATGCATGTTAGGCTGACTGGTAACTCTAAATTGTTCCAAGGTGTGTTAGTGTGTGAATGGTTGTCTCGTTTGTCTTTATGGGGCTGTGATGGACTTGTGACCTGTCCAGGGTGTCCCCCGCCTCTCGCACAGCGACTGCGGGATATTAAATTCCAATTCAATTCAAAAATACTTTATTAATCCCAGAGGTAAATGAAATGTTGTAACTCATCATCCTGGTTTCACTAAAGAGTTGTTGTAGATGCTGATGGCTGTGGGCAGGAAGAATCTCTTGTAGCGTCTGTCTTGCAGTGGATCTGAAGAATCCTCTGACTGAAGACACTGTTGTTGTATGACAGTCTGTTGTTGTATGACAGACTGATGAAGAAGATGCTGAGGGTTGTCTATAATGTTCTTCATTTTATGAAGAATCCTTCTTTGAACAATCATCTCCAAAGGTTCTAGAGGAGTCCCCAGAACTGAGCCAGCCTTCTTTATGAGATTCTTGATCTTTTTTAAGCCACTTGCTCTAGGAAAGGGACTATATGGGGGAGTGGTGGCGCAGAGGTTAGAGAGGTGGGCTTGTGATCCGAAGATCGCCGGTTCACGCCCCGGCCCCGACAACATCAAAATTGTGGGTGGGGTAGGTGAAACACCAACACTTGCCCCCACCCTCATTCGCCCCACTCTGGGCCCATGAGCAAGGCCCTTAACCCCCACCATGTGCTCCCTAAACAGGTGGGGGTTAAGGGCCTTGCTCATGGGCCCAGAGTGGGGCGAATGAGGGTGGGGGCAAGTGTGGGTGTTTCACCTACCCCACCCACATTCGCCCCACTCTGGGCCCATGAGCAAGGCCCTTAACCCCCACCATGTGCTCCCTAAACAGGTCTCTCTTGAAAATGAGTTCTCGTGGCTCAATGAGACTAACCTGGATAAATAAAGGCTAAATGAAAAAAAAAAAAAAAAATATGAGCACCAGTGACTCCCGTGACCCGAAAAGGAAGAAGCGAGTAAAAGATAATGGATGGATGTTCTGTTACAGGATTCTCTCTCTCACACATTCACATAGAGGAAAAGACAAGAATACCTCAACAATAAAGGCCTTCCTCTCCGATTCGCTCTCGATGGTCTTGATTGCAACATCTTTGCCTTTCCATTTGGCTTTGCAGACAACCCCAAAAGCTCCTCTACCCACCACCTTCAAACAAAAAGGTTATTATTTATCAGAATAAATTGTGTCATCACAGCTGTGGTTGATTATGGCCATCTGGATGAGACTCAACCAACCTCTTCCACTTCAATGTCCTCATAAATGATTTCTTCAAATGGATACCCAGGTGGTGTTTCCAGCATGTCGGAGGAAGGTAACGTTTGAGACATTACTAGCTAAAGTTAGCTAGTAAATAATTCTGGGGGAAATAGAAAGTTAAAGTTGTTATTACAATTCAATTAACTATGAGGTTATAGTAAAAAATGCTTTTAACATAGAACAAAAACGCACAGCTGTATTGAGGCAAGTCATTACCAAAAAGGATAATTAACAAGCTTAATAAAACATATTAGCCACTTTAGATTAATTTTCCTTGGCGGGCTGTCAAACTCGGTGCTATTACCAGCAGCCGGGCTGAAACCAGCAGCCGGGCTGAAACCTGCAGCCGAGCTGAAACCTGCAGCCGAGCTGAAACAAGCAGCCGGGCTGAAACCTGCAGCCGAGCTGAAACCTGCAGCCGAGCTGAAACCTGCAGCCGAGCTGAAACCTGCAGCCGAGCTGAAACAAGCAGCCGGGCTGAAACCAGCAGCCGGGCTGAAACCTGCAGCCGAGCTGAAACCTGCAGCCGAGCTGAAACAAGCAGCCGAGCTGAAACCAGCAGCCGGGCTGAAACAAGCAGCCGAGCTGAAACCAGCAGCCGAGCTGAAACAAGCAGCCGAGCTGAAACCTGCAGCCGGGCTGAAACCTGCAGCCGGGCTGAAACCTGCAGCCGGGCTGAAACAAGCAGCCGGGCTGAAACCTGCAGCCGGGCTGAAACAAGCAGCCGGGCTGAAACCTGCAGCCGGGCTGAAACCAGCAGCCGGACTGAAACCAGCAGCCGGGCTGAAACCAGCAGCCGGGCTGAAACCAGCAGCCGGACTGAAACCAGCAGCCGGGCTGAAACCAGCAGCCGGGCTGAAACCAGCAGCCGGACTGACTCCTAAAGACAGTTCAGTGGAACACCGACTTATGAACGTACTCAAAACCGATACAGAAGCCTCGGAGCATTGAGGATGTTTTAATCTGACCGTCACGAGCACCACAGGTAGTTTCTAACAAAACAAGCGTAAATTACCAGGGCCTGTAGCTCACCTAGCCAGATTACGTTTAGCTTCTTAGCCGCTAGCTGACAAGCTACCAGGACTGTTCCGAGCTTCAACAAGCCAAGCCGCGCGATGTTTCCGTGGACATATTTCCTACTCTGTCTGTATGGGAAGCCGTAGAATTATGTCCATGTTTCGAAAACGTATTTTCCCATCCACTACAAAGACAGACATAACTTTTCTGAACTTATCTATCTGACTTCGCCAGACCGTTTCCCGACACACAGGAAATGTGTGCACCTTACAATTCCGTCCCCAGCAACACGAAAGAAAGTCTTCTTCATAGACTTAAAGCTTCTTATTATTATTTCTTTGTTTTTTCCCTCTTCTTCTTCTTTTATTTTTTTCTTTTCGTTATTTTGTTCCTCTCTCTTCTTCTTTTTATGTTTATATTAATACCCTGTATCTGGGGCCCTGATACAGGGTATTAATTCTTAATAAAATATGATTATAAAATTGAAAAGTTACCTATAAAGTTATCAAAATTTCACCAACAGGCTCTCCTGGCTTGGAAACTTGCCTACAAACACAACTTCTCTCCAACTACTACATTTGGAACAATGGGAATATTCTGTGTAATAATAAGTCACTTTACTATAAAAACTGGATGGATAATGGAATGATGCTGGTCCAACAGCTGTTAAATGATAGTGGAACCATTTTGTCATCCACTGGATTTCTGACCAGGTTTAACACACCTGTAACACCTAAAGAGCATGCTGTCGTTTGTGATGCTCTACCAAACTCCATGATGCAACTCTTCAAAGGAACAAACCTGATCGTTCATCTAGAGACCAGCTGAGAAGACCCATAATGCACAAACATGCTCCAACAAACTTATAAGATCATGTCTGCAGAACATTACTTTACCTCCTGGTAGATTTTTTTTGGTGCTCTACTTTTGGAGAAATTAAGTGGAAACAAGTTTGGTTGAATGGAGAAAAAAATTGCATAACAAATAAAGTTAAAGAGGTTTCATATAAAATCAATCATAATGTATACCCTGTTAAAGATTTAAACTTGATATTGACTACTCTTGTACATTTTGTGAACTACACATTGAAATAATCTCTCATTTATTCTATCAATGTAATCGCACAAAGACGTTCTGGACAGATGTACAACTCATACAACAGAAAATTGAACAAATAATTCAACTTGCAGAGAAACACATTATATTATGCTTCGACAATAACGATATGGACAAAGACTTGATCTACTTCATGCAACTTCTACTTCTCCTGGGAAAATTCCACTTTCACAAGAAAAAGGGGTCAAACTCCAAGTCAAGCATGACCAACTTCAGCAGAACTTTACTGATACAGCACCGCTGTTAAAGGACTGGAAAACAAAAAGCAATGAAAACCATCTCAGTTCTAGATAAAGTTAATGTGAACTTATCTATATAACCTGTAAATAGATTGGTTTGTAGCTTTAGACTTTTTTTTAATCTTTTGTACCATTTTATAATCATATTGTTCTTTTCTATACTTGTAAACTATTACTTTTGAACCTGCTAATATACCCCTGGCAGACACTTGTTTGTAAAATTGATAAAGTTTTGTAATTTAAAAAAAAGTTTATTGGCAAACTGAAAGTGTGCCACCAACTGGTATGGAGTGTACGGAGCCCCGGAGGGGACGTGGTTTTTTCTTCTTTTGCGCTCCCTTGCAATAGTTTTTGTGTTCCCTCGCAGTACTGTACTGCATGTAGTGTTATCTCACAGACAACAGCAACAATGGAACAGTATTTGAGGTTCATGCAGGAGTTTGTGACGGCGCTATATGAATAAAATAAACTGAATTGAATTGCATTTTGAAATCAGCTTTAAATATAAAGATATCCAGTGTGTGCTGCAGTGATAAAATTAGTTTTACGCTGAATATTTTACGTTCATGCTCCGTGGGTTCAGCGGTGGCTTCCTCGTTCGAGCCGATGCAGGCAGTCTGATTTCCTTCAGCTGCTCTCAGTCTGTCACTCCTCGAGGAGCGATGGTTCTCTTAGGGGCCGTCAACAAATTACTGTATTTTCAGAGTATTTGTCAAAGCAGGATTATGTATCATAACTAAAGTTTTCTCAGTATATTTCTGCATGGTAATAAATCATGAATTCTCACCATTTAAAATCCAAAAGAACAAGGTGTCACTTGCATTTCAAAAGTACTGTAACTTTCTTTTAAAGCATCAAAGTTCATGCTCAGTCATCCAGGTACAAAATACAGTAATGGTCAGTCAGGTCATCTGGACAGTTACTTTTTTGTGGAAAGACGTGGGGAAAACAGTTTACTGGGGACTCCTCAGACTGATGAAGCCCTCTGGAAGTGTGCGTTTAGTGTGTTTTTAATTAACGTTTTTCTTAGTTCATATCCTAGATCTTATTACTGTTTTTCTTTTACACACATTTTAATATTTTGTTGGATGTAACTGGGAGCCTGTGTGCACAATTTCGTTCCACCACATGCACCACATGTGGTGCGAATGACAAATAAAGAACCTTGAATCTTTGAATCCTTGAATGAACTTTGAGGCTTTAAAAGAAAGTTACAGTACTTTTGAAATGCAGTGACACCTTGTTCTTTTGGATTTTAAATGGTGAGAAAATTCATGATTTTCCTCCTCAAGGAGGAGAGAAGGACTCCGTGCAGGACCTCCGTGGGTAAATGTCACCATCTGTCCCTCCATCTCCGCCCCCACCCCCCACCCCGCCTCCTCCAGAAACTCCTCTCCTGAAAGGAGAGGAGTTTCAAAAGGAGCGTTTGAGCGAGCTAGTGTGGCGCACGTGCTGCAGCTGGAACATCCACTCCACAGACTGGCTCCGCCGGACTAAGGGCAACATCTTCTCTCTTGTATTTTTAATAAATAATAAAAATTAAAATGCACAATGACTTTGGACTTTTAGGGGCGTTGATTTGAGTTGCCGATCGGAGCAAACGGTTGCCGGAACACAGCCTGTCAAAGTAAGTGAGTTCCCGGATCTTGTTCCAGCAAGATCTGGCTCAAATTAACCCCAGGTCTGGCCTCAGGAGTGATACATATA